TGACCATGAATATCTTTTGTATTGATAGTATTAGTTAGGTAGGTACTATATTATAATAGTGTGCTTTGTATACAAATCACTTTCTAATTTTTTTATGTTGACAAATTGGTTATTGTCTGCATCTTCATGTAAAAAATCATCGATGGTTATTTAAAAAAAAAAATTGTTGTATACATTATAATTCAAAAAATAAAGGAACCTTCTCTTAAACCATGTTAGTACTAATGTAATTTAATTGAAAAGTCTGTCTGGAGACATATTCTGGTAAAATTGGAATGATTCCGATAGGTTTTGAGATAAACATTTATAACAACTGTAGTTTTTGCACTCAAAAAGTTGAAGTAAAAAAAAATGTATATTTTTACCCGACTATGTGACTGATTTGTCAACTAAAGTAGGTATATATTGTGTGAAATGTAGAAAAAAAGTTGTTTGTAGGTATATATAAAAATATTATGTTTAATATTATATAATACATATACTATGTATGTAGCGTTTTTAACGTTTATATTAATAAAACTATTTGTTTTTTAAATTTTGTAGTATTAAATAATTATATTAAAACATAATTCAATTATTTTTGATAGGCACCTTTATTTTAGATTCTGAGTGAAACGATGAATGTATTGATTTTACAATGATGTGTGTTTCATTTTTTATTTTTTATTTTTTTTTTGTGTCTGTCATCACGTTTTAGGACAGTAAAAGTGCTTGGATTTTGGTTTACTTTACATTTGTATTTATTTTGAGCACATCTGATTTTAAAGTAAAAAGGGATTCCTATAGTCTAAATTCAACTATTTTTTTCGAAATTACAATCGAACTTCAGTAAGTATGTTTAATTTACTATCGTTTTAGTAGTTTTTATAGTTATACAACCAAGAATTTTTTCATTTTCCGCCAAGTATTGACATGTGCGTGCGTGTGCGAGGGTTCAGAGTTTCATCCAGAGGTGCTTGTCCGACGCATCGTTTCATGACGCAACGTTACATCGATTCTCGGAAACACACACTAACCTTACTACTCACACATAGACAAAGCCCAAATGTTTATGTCATGTGAATTGCCTAAATATTACCCCTTAAAACATGATCCGGGGGACGGAGTGGGTGAGCGGACTAAACTGTCGCCGGTTCGAACCTCGGTCCCGGGTGGCACTTCTCACAGTCACGGTGTCTGGTGAGAAAGGCCCCCCCACCCGGGAATGGCAGATACCTACGGGTGCCCACTTGAAAATTAATACTATGAACTAAAAACACTAAAAACACAAGTGCTTACAAAAAAGCCTACAGTACCCTCCCCCACAGTTAAAAACCAACCAATGGCCTAAGCTGCCGCGGGTTAGTTAATAGAAAAAAAAATATGATCCGCTGGAGCGGAAAAATTAGCATTCTTACGTTTGTAAGCATTTACGTTGTTTCGATAACATTTTTAATTTTGTACGATGGTTGACTTCATTTTTTAAACTTTTTTGTGATATGTTAATCATTAAAAAATCTTCATCGAAAGACGTTCCTAATTTCCTTTAAAAATCTTGACTTACATAGGTTTTTTATGCTATATACTTACTTATAACAGTATTTATGAATACTTCCACATTAATTCCAATAATAATAAACAGATTTAAAATTAACAAATATATATCTTTATTTAATGAAATTGTCTATTTAATTTTAATATTCGTTTTCAAAAATACTACCTTATTCATACGTCATAATTATTTAAATATTTAAATTATTAATTTTTTTTTTCATCGTGCAATATCCGTATCCGATAGATTATATATAGTATCAGTCATCAGAGTACTTGCATATATAATTATCTTGAAGTCCTACCAAAAATTTAAGTAACTGATATTGTGGCACCGTGTTGATATAACTCATTTTTGATTGGGCATCAGTAGGTATCTGCCATGTCCGGGTGAGGGATGGCGGCACTTGTTCTCCGGACACCGTGACTTGCCCGAAGAAAAAAGCCGCCCGTGACCAAGGAATCGTACAGGAATCGCAACCGACGCCTTTGACCGCTCGGCCACTCCGTCCCCCTTAAACATTTAGTTATAAATTATAATACTTAATACAAATTAAAATGTTTCATATGTATACGAATTCAATGACATTATCATTTCGTATCGAGTAATGTTTAAGCAAAAATTGTAGTCGAAATTAAAATTAGATGAAATAAATAAAGTTTCTAAAATTAACATTTATTTGGCATTAGTTTGCATAAACAAAGAACTTTAGTTGATTTGTATTTGTTTGTGAGTCTACATTAACGTAGTATTGTAATATATAAAAACATCACGTGTTTATCATAGATCTGCATAACTATTATAATAAGCGAATAATTAAATATAAAATAAAAGGTCTTTAAATTGTGTATATTTTTGTTTATACAGTTAATGGATAAAACACTACCTAACGATTGTTAATGATTATCATTTTTTTGAATAGTATACACAATTTGTATAAAATTTGATTTAATTTAGTGTACCTAGTATAAATTATAAATGCATTAATTACTATTTAATATTCAAATTAAGTACTAAATGTATCTTATTATATTATGTTTATAGCCATTATGATGTATACCTAGCCATTCAAGTTATTATTTTGCTTATACATAAAATCAAATTTACCAAAATCACTAAAAACAATCATATTATGGTTTAGTTTCATAATATTCAGAAGAAATAACTATTTTGTAATTGTAAATAAAAATACAAATTTATTAGTGTTTTAGTTTTATGTCTTATCAAGCATTTTGTATAATGATAGAAATGTGTCTATTTTAAGTAAACACACATTGTAGTATTATGTAGGTAGGTACTTATGTGAAGAATTTCATTAGATCATTTTTAAAACTGAAATAGCTGCAAGATATAAAACGTATTTCAACAATATTTTATATTTCGGTATAGTAGCTTTGTATTAGCTTCTCGGGTAAAAACTATCTCTAAATAGTTCTCTTTATTTGTTTACTTCTTTGTTGGATTTAAGAGCCCAGCTTTTATAGCCGCGTAATGGATCCTGAATAGTATGAGTATAAAGTAGGTAGATACTTATAAGTATTAAATAAGTTAAGTACTAGCCTTCCGTTAGGAATTCCACATCTTCGTAGATAAAGTGAACCAGTTTGTGATTGGTAGAATGGTAGATACTTTTTAACCTTTGGTAAGACCAAACTAAATTAAAACTGATAACATCACAAAGAAGTTGTACAATAATTTTTAATTTTATCTTTTATAAACCAAGAAATATAAAATCATTTAGAATATTTCCTCTTGAATATTTCAAATTCCATAATTACTGTACTACCATAAATGGGTATTGAGGTTATAAAGGCATATTTGCAATGTTTGTGAGCTGTAAAGTTTCGCAACGATCTACAAATTCTATTTCGTTATCATAAATCCGCAATCGCTCAGTGATCTTTAAAATTATAATATCTCATATTTCCTTTGTATTCGGATCTTAGAAAATTTCAAAATAAAAATAGAATCTGCATCATATTGTAACCTTAAAAAATTGAATATATTTTTTAGAAATCGCGTGCAGATTATTATTTATTTTAAGACATAAAACGGCGTGTGTCACCTATGTCCTACATGCATTAAAATATTGTTCGTATTATAATGTTACGATGATATAGATCATTGATTATTTTTTGCCAACAGCAGCTATCCGACCAGGTCGTTTAAGGATTAAATCCGATTTTGGTGTATATAGTACCACACATTACCATTATATTATGTAGCTTCAGTGCAAAATATGTCAATTGTTTAAAACTAAATAATACTTACCGTATAATATCAGACGTAAATAATTTAACAATAAAGTATATAGTAGTATACTATTCAATAATTCCTTTTGTGGTTGGTAATAATTTATTACTTACTGAGAGATCGATTATCAAATTCTACCTCCTACCATTTTCATCCCGCACTCAATGCATGCGGGTACACTTATTTATTTATTTATTTTTCTGCTAGGGCTTCAACAGCTATGTGCATTACTTAGTGGCCTACATGTTATAAGTAAAACAAAATAACATTTTTTACAATTGTTGACTTAAGTTTATGTTAGGTATGGAAAAATAAATATATAAAGCAATACGCATCCGTATTTTTTTACGTAAAAAGAATATTGGAGTGAGGGTGGGTTTCTTAAAGATTTTTCGTGCATAGATATAATTTATATATTTGGTGACGTAAGGGTTGTCTTGAATGTGTTTGTCCTGTTCTGTCACTGATGATAATTACTTATTATTTTCTTTTTAAAATAAGAAGAAATTTACATTTTTTAATGAAAGGTTTTATATTTCTTAATTTATTTGTAAGTAGTATGTACCTACTATAGTATATAATATATATATTCCTTTTTTCTACCATACTTCTTTTGTCTTGTGGTTAATGATATAATTAATATTGAGTGTCTCTGAGAATATGGTTAAGTTTATTTTTATCAATTGTTGACATGCGTTTCGTTTGCTGTACTAAGTCTGTTTTTCGTTTCTGAATATCCCAACATGTAATATTTATTTATTAGTAATGATCAGTTTTTGGGTGTGTTGTAGTTTTTTTTTAGTATGGATTTGTAATTGATATTATGGTGCTCAAAGAGTCACTTATGATTATGGAGTAATCCCAGTTCAAAAATGAGTCTAATTTAAAGATTATAGGTACATTTATTATTATCAGTATCGTAAGTATTTCCACTTGGCATGCAGCTTTGATGAATAAAGTTTTGTGTTAAACGCAGCTCAGAGTTAATTTTTTGGATTCAAACCGTATTATTATTATTAATACTATAGGGTCATTGTTAATTTACGTCACAAATAATTTTGAGTTGTCGGATTGTCGGTAAATGCATTGATGACTTCTACCCCCTCCCCAAATGTGCTTCAACGCACCTACGAATGTATATTTAGCCATTTAATATAATATTATTAAATTGCGTGGATAACAGTATTTAAATTGTGGAACTTTTTTTTTTTCACAGGAAAAGAATTCGTTTTTGAATTTCAACGTGAGCTGTATATTAACTTTACCCCCTTACCAAAGGCAAGGATACGGCAGACTTCTCATCGATTTCAGTAAGTGGAATATTTATTTTTATTTTTATTTTTATTTTTTTTTCTGACAAAATATTTTCGTCATTTGTATTCACTACGCAAGAATAAGTCCCGTGTTTTTTTCCGTATTTTACGCGCCACCTATATATACATAATATAAATACACACATACACCATCGTCAACAGGGGTGTAATACTGTCTATTTCTTCACTGCCAACGATTTGAACATAGCCAATATCTTATTACGCGTATGCGCTTCGAATTGATGTCACGTCCCGCAACAGATATAAACGAATAGATAAATAGTACGAATGCGAATACTGCTAGTTTCGAATTGAATTTATTCCATGAAATATGAAACGCACGCCTACCGACCGGAGATGATGTAAGTAAATCGTGTTGTTTCGAATTTTTGTGGTTTTATAAACATTTCGCGCATTTATTATTTCCAACATTGACGTGCAACGTATATATTGGATTGATCGTGCATCATCATGTCGTATATTATAATGTAATTCCAGATTCGTTCGATTTCTTTCGATCTACGGACTCACACACGTAGACGCACACAAACACATATGTAGTATATTCGCGCAGCTTTATTTACGCACATTTTACCGAGTATTCGTCAATTTTATTATGACATCGGTTTTTTTTTCAAAAACCGTTTCATGATTGCGTTTTTTTTTTATTCTAACTAAGCGATTCATTAAAGATTTTAGATTAGTTTGGCGAATAAAATGTCGGGCCAATTTTTTTTTTATATAATATATAATTTGGGCATAATGAAAAATATAAATATTTATAATAAATTGCATGTATAGTTTATAATACATAAAACCGTAGTAATTTTTAATAATTATATATTTATGTATAACATTTTTATAGGTAGGTATAAAATATTATTTTCAAATACAACGTTTCTTATTCAATTGCTCAGAAGGTATACCTTAGTTATACTATAGTTTTCGATTGCTAATATTATAAAGAATATAGAATTTGTGTTCATTTGCGACCCCTATTAATCTATCCGGGGTCATCAACAATATAGAAAGTGTCAGACTTACGATTGCTTTTTGAACTGACGTCTAATCTTAAGATTTTAAATCTTAATCTATACCCATTACCTATATCTTATATATTTCAAAATTTCGTGTCACGACTTTGTCCTGGACCGATCTTGATGACATTTTTACAAGTTTTTTTTATTCATTGGATTTTAGTACGGTTAGGTTAGGATAGGATTTTGTGTAAATTGATTATATTAATCACCGTAGGTAGAATTAAGTAAAAACGACAAACTTGGTATAACTTTGATACTTTAGAGTTAAATCATACACTTACGTACAAACACCACGGCGTCCTCGATCTATCATAGGTATAGATATTGCCTCCCTGATAATGTACTGCTGCGAATCAGAATTTTTATTCAGGTCGACGGAAAAGTTAAGATACATTTTGAATACCATACACCGAATATTAAATAACGAATTGAACAAAGTTCGAGTAATATAAAGCTGATACATTTAACGGGCAACGAAGTGCACGAGATCAGCTAGTAATCTTATATATATATATAAAAATCTCGTGTCAAGTGTTTGTCTTAGATAAACTCCGAAACTACTGGACCGATCTTGATGAAATTTTTACACTGAGTATAATTTGGTCCAACTTAAAATATAGGCTAATTTAAAAAGGGAGAGGACCAACCCCGGGAGGTGCTCAAACGGGAATTTTGAGATTTCAGATGGACATTTTTGTTTATAAATAGTTTCCATAAGTGACGTCGTATAAAATGATTCGTTCTAGAAATTTCAATCCAGAATTATAGTGAATCATTTTAATTCGTTGCCACGAGAACATACAAACCATTTATTGTATACGCCGACGATTTTTTATTGTACATATACATATTCAATCACTATTATTATTATGTTCTATAAGCAATGATGGGTTTTTAAGCTATATAATAAAAATAAAAACTATTTTCTTTACTTATTAAATATAAATTATATTATAAAATCTAACTATAAAAAAGCTGGTAAGTGGATGTCGCTCTGCTGTACAGTAGGTTACAAGTGGGTCAATGTATAACGAATTGTATTAAACTTGAATTCAATGATATACAATTATTGTATAAGAAAAACGATTCTGAGCGGAGACGGTTTATCAATCTGGATTTTTTTTAATCTTTATTATTTAGTATTATTTAGTACGGTGATAAACAAATCGTTATAAATTAAAATCCCATTATAAGTGGTTTTTCGTAATTTGTCAGTAGTTTTTCCCGTGGCATTAAATAACTATTGAGAAAATCGAAAAATGTCCTCTCTAAAGTACCATCTTAATCCAATTTGCTAAAAGTTAAGATAAATTTTGAACACCATACACTGAATATTAAATAACGAATTGAACAAAGTTTGAGTCATATATAGAGTTGATATATTTAACGAGCAACGGAGGGGATCAGCTAGTATAATATATATATTATATGCAAAATATAATAATTCTTGAAGGAGCTGATGAGTAAATTTCAAGCATCTCACTCATAGTTATTACTTATTATACAATAACAAACATACATTTTCGACTCTTCTGGCTTTTTTGTATATTTCATCTTTCAGTTTTTTTTAGTTTTTACACAGGAAACGTGTCAAAATATTTTTAGTTTTGTTAAATGAAATTCTTGCTTGGGAATAATGCAAAATATGTAAAATAGGACTTTATAACATCCTGCACGGTAACCTCTAACGATTTCACCCTTCGTACTCTTATTGCCAACATGCGCATTATGTAATACGTTTTCTATTCGACCCAAGTATTATTCTTAATGTAAGGGAACCCAAAACAACAAGGCAATGTAAAAGCACGTCCGAGGTTTAATTCATATACGGTCAATGGAATTGTTTTATTAAATATTATCTTTGGGACTAAGCCGACCGTTTTGAAATGGTAGTATATGTATAGGAAGGGATGCAAATCCCATAGTAACTGAAATCGGATAAGTTATACGTATAAGAATAATTTGAGTTCATTTTAATGTACTACGTACCTTCTCCATTATGCGGCTTGATTTCAAATTATTATTACAATACTATTCTCTTGAATTAAACACATATATCGTTTTGAATTTTGATTCAGAATCAATGAAATATGCGATTTATTTTTTTTATTTTTTATTTTTGTGTCTGTGTACACGATTAGAAGTCGAAATAATGCTTCGATTTTCAACTTCAGTATCTTGTTCGATGGGAAAGTGAATCTAGTTAGTAGTTGGTACTTTTGGGAGGTCAAAATTTAAAATTCTCAATAGTTTTCAAAAGCGCCCGGAAAAACAAAATAAAAATTAAGGAAAACGGGAATTTTTACTCAAAATCGGTAAATCAATTTGAGAACATCTATAATATAGATTCTATTTAATACCTACTATATAATATTATACGGCATACAAATAATAATGATATTTTAAGTTATTGAAATCAACATTGCTCCGTTTTTCTGAATTCTAGATTTTAATTTATTGGTTTTTATATAATGTATTTTATTTATCACGACTTGTTAATTGTATAATGATTGGGGAGGAGTTATAACTGCTATTGTATTTAAAATATTCTGTGAATTTGTTAATTTATATATATATGACTATGGAATTTGGGATAGAATAATTTGAAATATTGAGTGCTAAGTTAGGAATTGTTTGCATTTTGTAATCATGGTGTAGGATGTGATTACTTACTTACAGAGGGAATTTGGTGGTGAGTATAATCGCTTAGATTAATATATTTAACAGTCTGGAAATATTGTAGTAATGTCTAGAAGTTTCCAAAAGTTGGACACCGTATGTTATGGCTGGTGTAATTAACTATTTATGCAGAAGTATTATATAATCTTTGAGGGTCATTTCAGATAGTAGGACTTTATGAAGTTTGTGGAAATTAAGGTGAAATATTTATTAATTAAATCTAAGTTATTTAATAGCTTTCAATAAAACCCCTCGTATAATCTTGATAGGAATCTAGATCATATTAAGAATAATGTTTATAGTTATTTTAGTTTTTCAATCTACAGTTATATCAGCGGTCATAGGCTAAATGTAATGTTTACATATTTAGTTTTATGAATTTTTCGTGATATATTGTTTTAAAATGATTTAATACGAGTCTAATATTCGCAACATAACTTTAAGATCGTCAGAAATCTGCGTTTGGAATGTTTGCGGTGTATATGTTTTATACTTATTTCTAATATAAAAGGCAATAAGAATACGTCCTCGTGGCACGCACTCTTTTATTTATTGAAGTATTGAATGGTTTTCTGAACATATTGAACAGAAAAGCTTCTGTGATTTACGTCGAAACGCAATATAAAAAAGTGGTTCTATTTGTAATTTGTGCTTATAATAGGTAACTGTATACACTACACAGTGTAGTATGCATTTATTAATTATATGTAATATGTTTGCATAAAATCAAGTCTGAAAAAATATTGTTTTAATATAAAACTACACACATTTTAATTCTTACCGTTTTAAAAAAAATTATTTATTTGATTAAATCGTGTTTAAATTTGGTGCAAATATAGAAATAAAAGCGGGTAAGTGGATGTCACTCTGCTGTATAGTAGGTTACAAGTGGGTCATCTTATAATGGATTGTATTAAACTTGAATTCAATGATATAATATCATTGTATAAGAAAAACGATTTTGAGTGGAGACGGTTTGTCAGTCTGGATATTTTATATTGTTGTTATTTATTATATCATGTAGGTTGAATTAATATTATGATATTATATTTTTTTAATCGTTTCTATATGGTGATAAACAAAGCGTTATAAATTAAATTCCAATTTTTAGCGTTTTTTCGGTGGTTTTCCCCTTGACATTTTACAACTATTGAGAAAATTAAAAAATGACCTATCTAAAGTACCATCTTGATCCAATTTGCTAAAATATAAGGTACTATATGTTGAAATCGAAGAACGCCTTCTGGCAAAAATTTTGTATGCAGGATATAAAAAAAA